GTAAAACCCAAGAGCAAATGCAATAATGAGGAGCACATCCCATACCAGGAATTTTAAGTAGTTACACAGAACCCTGCGCATCATCTCATTGTATGTTGATAATACGTGGATGTGACCGATCTGGAGGAACATTTCAGTCCAGGCGAGAAGTATGGCAATGGCATTAATAGGTCGAGTACATTGCTCAACCCAGTTCTTGGACAGAATAATGATTGTGAATACAATCAAGAGAATTTCAATGCAGTTCTCAAAGCCAGAGAAGTACCTCTTGGGTGACATGACCATTTGAAACAGTTCTCGTAACACGAGTCCTGCCAGGAGAATGCTGAGCAGCAGCCAGTCAATGCCTATGTGCTTTGTTGTTGTTTGTATAATGCTTTGTGAGATTGAATTGTTTGCATTTTGTGCTGAGCAGTCCCTCAGAATGTGAAACGTTAGCAGGCTCACAAACATTGCATAAAATAAAAGGTTGGTGTAGAAAAAGACTCGAATATGGTTCCACTTGAGATGCAAAAAACTGAGCAGCACGGGATGCGTGAGGAGTGGCCTGAGATCTTGAGACTTGCTGATGTAGTGGAGTGGGTACATTTCAGGAACAGGTTTCTGTGAACCTATGCTTGATTTTTCCTGTTGTCCTCTTTCTTGAGACTGGAAATATTGTACATCACAGTCAGTTGTAGGTGGTTCAAGGAACCCGTATTTAAATGTTAGTTCATATTTGTCATCTCTTCTGAACTTCCCATTGCTTTCCAAACAGTCATCTAGGAATCTCCTTAAGGTCAGCGGATCTATGTCGTTCAGAGGCGAATAACCAAAGTGGTTTTCTAGGCCTACATATGCCCCATTCTGTAGTAGAGCTCTAGCGTACTGCTGGTCTTCTTCCTTGACTGCATAATGCAAGGCAGTGTTTCCATTGATGTCTGTAGCATTTATTTCAAGTTTTAAACTTTCCTTTCTTTCTAAAAGCAATTCAAAACATTTACGGTGGTTACTGCCGTCAGCTGGTTTCAACTTTTTACCTTTCACTACAGCATGGAGTGGTGTTTTCCCATTAACTACTTCAACCTTTGCCTTGTATTCTAATAATAAGAGCAGGATGTCATAATAACCACCTGAACATGCATGGAATATTGGAGGCTTCCTATTGGTTGGTATTGTAGCATTAGGATTAGATCCATTGGACAAGAGGTACTTGGTAACGTCGTGCACACCATGGTGACAGGCGTATTGGAGGTATGTATATTTGCCGTCATCAGCATCTATTAGCAATTTTTTGTCAGCTTTTTCAAATTTTGATTTGAATGTGTGGTATTGTTTGAAGTATAGATGTTCAAACAAGGCAGCAACCTCTATATCTTCATCTTCCGAAAGCGTTTGTGATTTTGGAGGTGGTAGATCTAAATCAGGGAACTTCTCTTGAATCAGTTCTCGTACCGTCTTACCACTCTGTGTGTCTTTGTTTTCAATAGTAACATTGCATTTACCATACCTCAGGATGGCTTCAATTGCTAGTTTACAATTCCCTAGCACCGCGTCATGTATTGCAGTGCGCCCTTTCCTGTTTTGCTTGTTGACCTTTATGTTAGATTGGGTCATGAGCACAGCAATACATCTCTCCATGTCGCCGGCATTCTTCATGAAGTTCTTTGCTGCTAAGTGCAAAGCCGTGCATCCAAAGTTATCCTGGATATTTACATCAGTTCTGCTGTCTTGCATCAATGCAGCTATTGCCTTGTAGTTACCGTGTTCAGTTGCGACATGTAGCGGTGCTCTGTTGCGGATGGGATTCACATGATTAGGATCCGCACCTGCTGCCAGCAAGGATACTATGAAGTCCTCACAGTCATGCTCTTTACAAGACAGGTCCAGACAAGTGGCATAATGAGGATCACCATATTGATGTTCAGGGTTCACAACCTTCTTGCCATCCGCATCGTACTCTTGTAGAAGACTGCTGAAGAGTTTGATGTCCTTATCATTGAGTGCTCTGAGTAACTGTGCTTGAAAGTCTGGTGGACCACAAACACTGCATGCATCCCTACTCTTGGACATGGTTTCTGAAATGGGGAAAAATCTTTTATAGTAAATAAGCATTGTATATAATGAACAGTGTTAATATGTAAGTTATACAGGAGGAAACCTGCTTTAGATGTGACCAGGTGACAGGCTATTTGGACTGATATCCGTTATAGTTCTCCTGTCTTTAAATTAAATTATGGAATTGCGTGTCCTTATCCTTCTCATTATCTAAATGTGTTAAATCACTCTGCTCTGTTTGAAATGGGTTTTTGCATTTTGTGGTCATTACAATAATTAGAATAGAGTAGAAAAGAATGAAATAGGATTTATTTTACATTTAATAGATCATTCATAATATTCATATTCATCAATTTAGCCTACGAAATTGAGCACAAGGAACTTTATTGAGTCCGCCCGGCAAGACATACGAAGTGCCGAAACGTGTGACAGACATACATGTCTTTGATAAGTGCGTCTTTGACGCACAATAAATTTCTGGTGCAAGGAAAAACGTCAACTATTTCTAATAGACTTCCGAAATGAGTGACGATTCATTTGAAAGGCAGTAACACCTTCGTAAACATTGTGAAGGAGCTTGGATTTCATTGGAAAAGATGATAAAAGGGTGTAAGATGCAGAAGGCCGCCGTAGTTTCATTCCCAACGCATTAGTTAACCTTCATTTATGATTATTGAAATAAAACACTAATTTTACTTTTTTAAGATTGCTTGAAAATACGCTATCTACCATAGAAGTATACACCAGGTCCCTTTTTTGTATAGACTGTACTTCCTGGTGGCGGACGAAACATTATTGTACAATCGTTCAAGTGACTCGCTCCTAGCCTTCCACTTGAAAATTTCTCCGGATAGTTTTGCCATCACTGTAGTTCAATGTAGTAATCTGTCTTAATAAGAAAGCGGAAAAAGTAACCTACACATATTTCTCAAATCTTTCCTATACAATTTATTTAAAATACAAATGTATTGGAAACCTAATAAAACAACTAGAATATAGTGTAATAAGGAGACAATTTACGTTTTACTTCATTGCATACACAAAAACTTCCAAATAAATATTTTAAAACTTACTGACATCAATATTTTATGTCACGCATGGAATGACATGGACCAGCTTCTAGTATAGACCTAAGATAAACATTTTATTGGAATTTTTATATTAGTTTTGAAGCTAAAGCATGCAGTCAAACAAATAGACGTTACTTTCTCACAATGTGTTCGTGTAATGGAGCGAAAGGTTCGCTGGGCGATGTAATAAACATGCAGAGACAAAAGAACGCAGGAAAATGAACTGAAAATATTCAGCAAGTGATCAGTAAGAGTGACGAGAGAACAGAATTATGCCTTTAAAATGTTCTTTTACCTTCTTTGTAAAGTTATTTTACTTCTCTGTGTGAACATACATCAAAGTACGACTCGTGAATCATAGGATTTTCTCTCTGTAAATAGTTTACTGCAGTGTTATAGAAGAGATGAAACACTGCAATAATATTCAAATATGTAATTTTGCGATATTTCAAGTCCTATAGTTGGTGACAATGCTTTGTGCTACAGCTACCCAACGTTATTTGAAAACCAGCTTTGGTGGTAACAGGTGTGTAGGTTACGTATGGTAATAGACTAGTAGAAAGTCAAAGTGTGTGACAAGTAGAGAAATGTTTATTATGGAGTTTCAAGATTTCATTAGGTAAGTATTTAAATAATTGTTAATTTATTATTTACTTTGGTTTCTACAAACAGTGTCTTAAGGTAGTGTTTTATTCGCTAATTGCTTTTCTGCCGTCTGCATTCGTCATCCGAGTATACAAGTATTTGGTTAAAATATTTTAGATGTTGGACATGTACAGTAATGGAATATATACACAAGAATATAGTAGGCTTGTATCTTATTTCAGACGGAATTAAATATTGCATAGAACTATTTAATATGCGAAAAACTGTCACAGTAGTGGAATGAAATAATTATACTTTACCAACATAACCACAAATTGCAACTATCACTCTTACTGGCATTATACAATATTTTATCAGACATTCTTCTGGCAAAATTAATTCCGTGTTGGACAAAAGTAACCATGAGTATTCTGAAGTAGTAAATCTGTTACTGATTTCCAGTTGGTTTCGACGAATTTCCTTTTAGTTTAAAGGATTCTTCATTTAATCACAAAATGCACTCCGGCTTATACTTTAAAAATACATTTCAATAGTGGTAATTCCTAACGTATATGTAGAAGCATATAAAGTACACACTTCATAATGATGAGTTACTATTATAACATGTCCATCTTTGTGGTAGTGTGAAAACTTTGTGCTTGTATTCGTGTTCTTCGTAAAATTGTTTTATATGAAGAAATTATTGAAACACATTATCATGTTTGAACTTGAAATTCTGAAATGGAATATGTTAAAGAAACTAAAATCGTATTGAAGAAAACAAATATGGCGGATGTTGACTAGACGCCTAGCTCATTAATTCCTGAATTATTTTTATATAGTAAATGAAATATTTCTTCTAATTTTAATACATGCTGTTTGTGTAATGCGTACCACACACATAGAAATACTGTGTTTTAAAAAGAATATATTATGTTGTATATGGAACAGGCGTACTTTTTGCCCTATTATGCCAACTGAAATTAGAAGAATGCGGAAATTAATTGCTTAATGTCAAATTACGGGTAAATAAAGACACTTGTGTGTTACGCTGTGAAACATTTTTCTGTATTCAGAACTTCATTTTATTTTGGTTGCAGAAGCTATTTAATAGTGGACTATTAATCAATCAATTCGTTGCAGGCAAGTTAACTGAGTGTCAGTAAAATCACATTAGAAACCTAGGTTTTGAGCTACATTTGCTCAGGAAATTACTTATTTAGAAACTATTATTATCGTCAAATTTAGCTTTGTACCTCCATTCAGCATCGACAGAACATTACTACACTTAAATTGTCTGAAGTCACACATACAAAATGGTGTTTAGGAAAAATTAGTGCTATATATTTTAAATATTTGAGAGTAGTTCTCCGTAGTATTTCGTGCAACTACTCAAAATTATCGCCAATATAAATCGCAGTGCTTTATTTTTCTTACAAATATGTCATTGTTATAGCAAATTGCTTTCTGAAATGTATTTCTGAATGGTGGTAGAATGTGTAACACAGTAAGTGGATTAAATTTATAGATGCATGCTACAGTTAATTAACATTATGGTTATTTATTTACTGCTTGTTGAATATTAAAATTTGCCACGTTTGTTATTTGCTTAATTTTGTCTGTATTTTATCTTTTGTCTTTTTGCATCTCTTACTTCGCGTGTATGTTAGAAGCAGTGGTACATCCCGTTCACCTAGTTATTTGCCCATATTACGATAGTATCAAAGTGATTTCAGCGACTCACCCCTATGTTGCGTGCAGTCACGATAATTGCTTCGTGTGGAGTGATACGATGTCTGAGGTGTCCGACAATATTTACTTTGTGATGGTAACTGTCTCCATAACAACGAATCGATACGCTTCAATGTTTTCTATTGTGCGTGACAAACGTTTTGACATCCAGATTGATTATTTTCCCTGTGGGATTGTTTGTGTGGTTTTTGATTCTCTTTCATAATAATAGGGGCCGTTTATTTGTATTGTACATGAAGGAAAAGCAGGTAACCATGAAAGTTAATTATTACATTACAATCTGTCACTAAAGGGGCTCTGATTTTTGTTCTTGACACGCCTTATTCAAACAGAACTGTCACGCACAAAGGCAGAAAATGTACTAATTCATTGTTTTGGTGTGAGTTCTTACACATTTCAGAGTTTGGATGGTGTTTTTGGTGACGGTTTATCTCAGCCAAATCCAAGTCATCAAGAAGTCCGTTTTGTGTTATGTTTTCTTAACAGTAGTCATGAAAACTACATAAAAGCCATAATTTTTCTTCTTATTCTTCTAGATCTTCTTTGTATTCTGCCTCGAACTCATTCTCTGTATTCATTTTCCCTCAATTCTTAATTCTCATTCTCTTGTTATTTGTTGTTTCCTCGTGCCGGATTTTTCTTGTTTATCGTGTTTTTTTAATAAGTTTAGGCCGCCGGAGTAATATAATCGAATTATATATTGTGACAGTCGGACCACATGACCGTTCACTAATATCGGATTATATATCGTCGTGATTTCGCGTAATCATCGGTTGAAGTATTAAGCGGTTAACAAAAAGTAATCACTCTTATCTTTTTCACTTTACAGTAATAAAATATGGTCGCACGGGAATAGGGAAGTAAACCACTTAATTAAAGCATGTTTTGATTGATAGTGTGGGCTATAAAAGTATAAAGTGCAAATTTGTAACGAATTCTTCTCGGAGTCCTGAACTTCAGTACCTTGAGGACGAGGACGAAGATGGTTCTCGAAACGCTGGTGTTTTTTCGATTCAACCACCTGACACGGCTGATAGTCCGAGAAGAATTCGTTATATTTAGTCTCCGCGAAGGCTTCAGATCGTACATCATTTAGTACATACCGTTTTCATCTACCAAATGAATTTATATTGAAGAACGGACAGTGTAACCCTCCGTTACTCCTCCTACTGCTGCTAATAATAATCGCAAATCAAGAAGAATTTGGAAATTGATGTATTTCTCCCAACACAGAAAACTGTTAAAATTGGCACATGTTAAATATTATTTGAAGTTCTCACGGTGGCTTTCTTCTGGTTTGTAGACTGGTAGAAGTTTTACCAGACTGTACGATACAACAGTCAAGAAGACAC